CAACTTCTTTAAATTAAATTTTAAATACAATGACTAAAAATACACTCCTTTAAAATTAGGTTGAGAGACTGAAAGGATCTCCTGGAGTAAAGGTTGTGGAGAAAGACAGAGGAGCCAAGTTAATGACGAGTCACTCACCGGAGTTTTTACGGTTGCCATTAGTTTGGACTGACGAGAAAGGCAATGATGGTTGTGAAAATGCTGGTGAAGGGATTGTGATTGGTTTTGTGGACTCAGGCATAAACCCACTTCACCCGAGTTTCTCTTACGATCCTTTGAAACCGGAGTTAGTGTCAAATGGGTCTCGTTTTTCCGGGGCTTGCGAGGGAGGCCCACTTTTTCCCGAGACTTCTTGCAATGGTAAAGTCGTTTCTGCTAGGTTTTTCGCGGCCGGAGCTCAAGCTGCAGCAACTCTTAATTCTTCTGTGGATATTTTGTCGCCATTTGATTCGGAAGGACACGGAAGGTACATTCATGGATATGATTTATGTTATTTCATTTTTTTTTTGTTTTGAAAAATAATGTTTTTGCTTGAATTTTTGAACTATTTGTGTGTGTGTGTGTGTGTGTGTTTTACAGTCATGTGGCCTCGACGGCTGCTGGGAATTTTGGAGTTCCAGTGGTTGTAGATGGCTTCTTCTTCGGTCGAGCTAGTGGGATGGCGCCACGTGCAAGGTTCCAATATTTTTATAAGAATATTGTAATTTTTTATGAAAGTGATTAATGTTCATTTTTTTTTCTTTCTTTTTAATATAGAATTGCTGTGTACAAAGCTGTTTATCCTACTGTGGGAACTTTAACAGACGTGTTAGCAGCAATTGATCAGGTGAGCTCCTTTATTTTTCCTTTTTCTTTTCTTCATTTTCACACACATATGGTGAGAATTGACTATTGAGATATATATTCAATCAGCAGAGGTTAAACATACACAGTTTCCCAGTTTGCACATCAGAAAATACCAAAAAACAAAGAACCAAAGCCAATAAGAAAAACAAAAAGGATTTATCAGATAACTACAGTACTGTAATAAGTTATTCATGTCTTACGACTCGTTTTGCAGGCTGTATTAGACGGAGTTGATATCTTAACTCTCTCCGTGGGACCCGATGCTCCACCAGAGGACACGCTTACATTCTTGAGCACATTTGACATATTCTTATTATCTGCACGAAAAGCCGGAGTCTTTGTTGTTCAGGCCGCTGGCAATCTTGGGCCGGGCCCATACAGTGTCGTTTCGTACAGCCCATGGGCTTTTGGTGTTGCCGCCTGTAACACAGACAGAAGTTACCCCGGCACTCTTACCCTTGGCAACGGTCAAAATATAGGCGGAGTTGGATTGTCAGGTACTGTTTTTAACTTTTTCTACCATTTACCATCGTAAAAATCCAAGAGTGAGTTCATATCCTTGAAAAGTTCAATCTAATAAGGATATTTTCAAAAACCAGGTCCGAGTTTTGGAAATGGATTGATTCAGCATAGACTGGTGCTTGCTCGGGATGCAATTAGGGTGAATCGAACATTTCCCAATACTCCAGATTACATAGACGAGTGCCAGTACTCGGAGGCGCTGGACCCCACATTGGTGAATCAAAGTGTAGTTATCTGCACCTTCTCGACCGGTTTTTACAATGGAACTTCGAACCTGACAGCCATAATCGACACAGCAAAGATGCTCGGGTTTTCAGGTTTCGTGCTTGTGGCGAACCCTGATTATGGGGACTTTATTGCTGAACCTATTCCGTTTTCTGTTCCTGGAATATTGATCCCAAGGGCTAGTGATGCAAAGGTATTTTTTTTTTTTTTTGTTCGTCAAAATATATAGTTTTTGCAACAGAAATACAGGAAACAAGAAGCTTTAAGCATCTGATTTTTTATTTTTATTTTTATTTTAATATGTGTGTGGTGTAGATCATATCTGAATATTATGAAGAGCAAACACAAAGAGATAAAAATGGGGTTGTTATAAGGTTCAGTGGGAGGGCAGCTATAGGAGAAGGCAGAACAGCTTCTTACACAGAAAGAGCGCCTGTTGTGAGCAGATTCTCGTCAAGAGGTCCCGATTACATCGACCAAAAGAGAAACCCAACCGATGTCCTCAAGCCCGATATTTTAGCTCCGGGCCACCAAATTTGGGCCGCTTGGAGCCCAATGAGTGTCCAGAACCCAATCCTGTCTGGTAGAGTTCAAATACAAACAATTTTTATCAACTTCCAACTAATCTTCAGAAAAAAAGGAAGAGAAAAAAAAAAAAGAAAAAAAGAAATGCACTTCAGATTTGTATTTTTTACAAATACCCAATAGTAGTTGGAATTTATAGACTGTATACAAATAATCAAGATATTCCTCCCTCCGAAATCTACTAAAATAGGTGGACTCTTTTGTAAATTGACTCAATCTTAGCCGTATCTCTGTTTTTCTCGCCTAACGATCCAAATGGTTTGCCCTCAGGCTACAGTTTTGCACTTATATCAGGAACTAGCATGGCAACACCTCATATTGCAGGCATAGCTGCAATAATCAAGCAAAAGAACCCCAATTGGTCTCCCTCGATGATTGCTTCGGCTATGTCGACTACAGCCATTAAACACGACAATCGAGGAGATCCAATCATGGCTGAAGGTTTTGCTGCCTACACACTTTATCCAGCCGCCCCTTTTGGTTTTGGTGCTGGTCTAGTGAATCCTATCCAAGCCCTCGATCCAGGACTTGTCTTTTCATCTGGTGATTTTTTCCAAAATTTTTATTATTCTTTTTTCTATTATTCTTTTTGTTTTTTCCTGTGAATATCACTTTTTTCGTATACAGATTATGAAGATTACCTCAATTTCTTGTGCTCTCTACCAAATACCGATCCCGAGAAAATCAGAAGTGCAACTGGAGGAACATGTGCAGCTGCTTTTAGCAACCCTTCGGATTTGAACCAGCCATCGGTCACAATAACTGCACTTTCTGGAATGAGAATGACACAGAGAGTTGTTAAGAATGTGGCGAGAATACGAGAGACTTACCTGTGTGCCGTGTTCCCACCAAATGGAGTCACAGTTAAAGTGGATCCATTATGGTTTACTTTAGCTCCTGGAGAATCTCAAATCTTGGAGATAAGATTACTTGTCGATCGGGCGCTCGATGACTTCAGCTTTGGGGAAATTGTGCTCACGGGGAGTTTGAATCACATTGTGAGGATGCCGCTGTCAGTTTTTCCGATTTCTGCTTGAGTTTTGGATGGTGAATTGTTTTCACTCTCAAGATTTGGCTTAGTTAGTTAATCCAAATGATGGTGGGAGGAAGAGTCAAATCAAGAAAGCCAGATTCAAGGGAATATAATAAACATATTTATCGGCAGACCTAGAATTTCTTCATTCTGCACTTACGAGTTTGTCGCATGTATGCACTGCACATTGGATTCAAGAACAACTTTCTAATAAAGCTTCTGTTCTGATCTCAAGTTTATATAATACAATCACAAACTACATATACCAATTTCAAACATATATATACATATGTAATACAACATTTGTGACTGACAAATTGCACGCTATATTGGCTCATGACGATAAACTATTTCTTCTCACGGTTATTGGCTAGTTTCCGACACATAATCCCTCATCAGTCTTGTATTACGGTCATCCACCATCTGCCAAAACATGACACAAACAAACTAATTCCTACGATACGAAATTTTAAAAACGGTTAATTTGGAAAAGTAGTGAGCCTACCTTTGATGCCAATCTTTCCAAGTTGTCCCATTCAAAATCGTTCTTGCAATAAGCAGATCGAACCTTCAAACAAAAAGTCGAACATTTCCTTTAGTTCCGAAAAATCTACAAGTCATGATTTTCATTTTTGTAACTTTTTTCCAAGAGATAGTTTCAAGGTTCATAGGTAAGGAAAACATTCACTGACCTCTAAAATGCGCAAAGCTGCACGGCACAGAATGATCAACATGCACAATAGAAACATTATCAGGTTGTTGTTATATACACACACATTTGGACACAAAAACGAGGTTGAAAGTATATGTCTTAGTGTAATATGTTGAATTACCTAAATTCTTGTGCCTTGATGACTCACGCATCAAGTCAGCGCAGAATTTATCTCCATCGGTAAGAGAATGCCTTTCCATGAATTCCATCAAATCCGCATGAGCCTCCGGATTGTAGCTCTGTGCTTCGAACCAAACTATGAATAAAACCATCATATCCAACTAAATAACATATGTACCAAGTTCTGTAACTTTAAGGGAGTATTTTGGATTTCAAAGTGAGAACAAAATTTGATTTAACAAAGAAAAACACAAAATTCAAGAGAGGGCTACTTGTACAGTTATAAACGAGACGCTAAACTTGAGTTTCAAATACTCGAGCTCGGACCCGAGCCTTTTTCGAGCCAAACCGCGGTTTGTTAACTAAATGGGCCGATAAACGAGCTCCAACTTGCTTCATTTATTACTATTAACAATCCGAACTAGAGCCTTAATGAGCCGAGCTAAGTTTGGTAAAAATTCAGAAAATTAGATGAAAACTCAATTCTCGAGTCTTATCTAGCCGAACTGAGCTCAGGAGCAGCTCGGTTAATTTAACAGCTCTGGCTACCTGTAGCTGGGCGTTGACTATTTTGACCGCGATGAAGGTGAAAAAATCGTGGAGATGTTTGGCCGCTTTCATTTCTGGAGAAGCTTCCCCAAACCCTGCAAACATGTCTCAAACTCCTTACATGTTCCAACTACTCTGAAAATCAGATCTGAGTTCATTAGGCACGTAAATATTTTGTAAAAAAGAAAGAAAGGAAAGATGAAAAATCAATCAAACGTGTAAGGAATTGATTTTTCGTTCTTACCAGGCACAAACATCTTGTGACATTGGAAGGTCGTTGAGTGTGATGTTCTCTGTTTTCTGGGCTTAAAGGGAAAACCTCTGCTCGTGGTCTGTGGTTTTGGCGGGAGAATTCTGAATTGAGAAGATGGGAAAAATAATGAGGAGTCCATTGAACAACAGCTATATTTGTTTCCCGCGAACGCTGTTGTATGTATATCTACTGGTAACAATTAGTGAAGGATTTTTATGAATCGGTTGTATGTATGTCTCTGTTCGTGTGAGGACGATGAAGAAGATGGCTAAACCTCCTAATTAAAGGTTTAGCTTCACAGCCATGAGAATATATTTTGTCGCCTTCTAAAAGATATCTTAGATTTTCCGCTTCACCAGAAAATTGTAGGTGCAAATTGCAATATAAGATTTAT